ATAACAGTAAATCTTCTATTTTTTGGTGTGAATAAAAATTCATTATGTGAATAAAAAATCAAAATGGAATTTATTTGTAAAGCCTCAAAACATAACTAATGAACGAGGAAATGTTAGTTTAGTGCCAGGAATGCCTACATTGTTCATTCTGGACCCTATTTTGAAATTGGAATATTTTGAACTTTTGTGTTAAATTGGCCAAATTAACAATTTCCGATCACTTTATTTTGTAGTTGAAACAGTTGACTTGGCGATTTCTTGTGCTCAATCGATAGAATAGAAGTAAAACTAGTGAAATAGCTAAGAATTTGGTTGATTGGAATAATGTAATTGGCCTAAAATGGGAGTCAAAGTCGGCAAAATCGCCGATTCGTAAATATCGCTGACACATCAAAATTCGCGAGAGCATAATTTCGTCAATTTTCCACCAAATTTCGTACTTTTTGTTTTATTACCTTCACAAAAAGATTCTCTACGATTTCATAAGAAAAAATAACAAATTTTTTTTTTGAAAATTCTTGGACACTGGTGTGTGACTCCAGATTTGGGCCTTGGACCCTGAAAGGGTTAATACTCATCTTCCACTTATACACTTCGATCATGTCTCTCTTCATTCTTCACCTTAGAAGTGAATGTAGTTTAAGGGTCTTCAATCTTTCTTCATACAGAAGATTTTTAACGCTATGTATTACTGTAGTCATTCTACGTTGAATGTTTTCTTGAACATTGGCAAAAATCAAACATTTCTGCTACTTTGAGCTCAATTTCATCTCCATTTCTGTAATATATCTTCCATTCTAACAAATGAGACCAAGAAACTGAGAATACAACCATAAAAACCACATGAAAATACAACACAAAGTCGCTGCTTTACACCAAAACCAGGGTTGCCATTTTTTTATTCTCATTTTTCACTGCATGCTGCAGGATTCTTTTTATACTGTGCACACTCACCATGCAGACCCACTCTCTCATATGTAGGCCTACCAGTGTTCTCCTGCAAGATTGGAAGCTGCCAGAATTTTGGCAGTTTCATGAGACCAACCCTGGCTTCAAAACTATAATTTCATGAGACTGACCCAGAAAGGGTTAACCCTTTAACTGTCCAACTGTAGATCTAAGTTGTTATCACTAGTGCTCCAAACGTAGATCAACGTTTTATTTTTCCTGCCTCCAAATTTGACATGTGGCCTAAGATGCCTGGTCAGCATAGAATGGGTCTTAACCCTTTGACTGTCGCAAGCCCCTTTCTGAAACTGTCATTCTATGTCGAAAAATTTTGGGAAAAAAAAACAAATTAATTTTTCTTGTGAAATGATAGAGAATCTTTTCCCGATGGTAATGACACCAAAAGTATGAAATCTGATCGAAAACTCACGGAATTACGCTCCTACGAAGTTAGCGGTCTCGGCAACATATATGCATCGGCAATTTCGCCGACTTTGAGCTTTATTTTTGGCCAATTCCATTGTTCCAGTTGACCAAACTCATAGCTATTTCTTTAGAACTCCATTTTTTCTATCAATTGAGTACAAGAAACTGCCAATTTACCGATTTGAACTACCCAATAAAGTGGTCAGAAATTGGCAATTTGGCCAATTTCACGCAAATTAAAAAAGATGCCAATTTCAAAATAGGGTCCAGAATAAACAATGTAGACATTCTTGGCACTAAAATAACATATCCTCTGTTCATTAGTCATATGTCCCTAGGCCCCTCTTATATTACTATTGCTTTCTATTTTGACTTTTTATTCATACAAAAAATAGAAGATTTACTGTTATGCAAACTACTGCATTATTGTAAAAATGGTATAAATAATATCAAAGCACTAGTGAAAGAAAATTAGACTCCCCAGTTGATGTGTATTGGACATGTGGTGTGATTTGCTTACTCTTGAACATTGGTAAAAATCGAACATTTCTGTTAATTTGAGCTCAATTTCAAGGTCGTTTTCATCGTGAAACTAATCAAAATCATCTCTATTTCTGTAATATATTTTCCTTTCTATCACATGAGACCATGAAAACGAGAATACAACAATAAATACTATACGAAAATACACCTCAAAGTCGGCATTTTAATCCCCAAAAAAACGGTCAGTTTTTGTTTCTCATTATGCACTGCGTGCTGCAGGATTTTTTTATATGGTGCACAATGACCACACAGACCCATTCTCTCACATGTGGGCCTACCAGCTTTCTCCTGCTTGATTTAAAGCTGCAAAAACTTATTATTATTTTTTTTTTTTTTTTTTTTTTTTTTTTTTTTTGCAAAAATTGTTGAGTATATACACATCCAAAACACTGGCTCATAAGACGTATATGTACGACCAAAACAGTCAAAGGGTTAACACTCAGTGTGTGCAATATTAAAAAAATCTGGGACCACTTAGTACCTTATGGGAGCATGAGTTCAATTGAGCACCAGCTAGAGCAAACCAGGGATTCAATGATGTCATGTCGCATTAACACTCCCATTTTAAGAAGAAAGTGATGTTGACTCTGAGTTTAGTGACTTTGAGATGGATGTGTCCACAATTGGTCAAGAAAATGTCAAAAACCTTGACAATAACCCATATGCTACATCCTCTAGTAATATACCTACAATTGAGGTTAGGCTTCTTGGGCGGTAATTTGACGGTAACGACTTGTCCCCGGCTAATGTAATTCCTATTTTTAAAGCAGGGGACATGTCATTACCGTCAAATTACCGCCCAATAAGCCTAACCTCAATTGTAGGCATATTACTAGAGGATGTTGCATATGGGTTATTGTCAAGGTTTTTGACATTTTCTTGACCAATTGTGGACACATCCATCTCAAAGTCACTAAACTCAGAGTCAACATCACTTTCTTCTTAAAATGGGAGTGTTAATGCGACATGACATCATTGAATCCCTGGTTTGCTCTAGCTGGTGCTCAATTGAACTCATGCTCCCATAAGGTACTAAGTGGTCCCAGATTTTTTTAATATTGCACACATTGAGTGTTAACCCAGTAAGAGTAGGTCTTAGACAGGGATGTGTAATGTCACCATGGTTGTTTAATATATTTATAGATGGGGTTGTAAAAGAAGTAAATGCTAGGGTGTTTGGGAGAGGGGTAGGATTAAATTATGGGGAATCAAATACAAAATGGGAATTGACACAGTTACTTTTTGCTGATGATACTGTGCTTATGGGAGATTCTAAAGAAAAATTGCAAAGGTTAGTGGATGAGTTTGGGAGTGTGTGTAAAAACAGAAAGTTGAAAGTGAACATAGAAAAGAGTAAGGTGATGAGGGTATCAAATGATTTAGATAAAGAAAAACTGGATATCAAATTGGGGAGGAGGAGTATGGAAGAAGTGAATGTTTTCAGATACTTGGGAGTTGAAGTGTCGGCGGATGGATTTATGAAGGATGAGGTTAATCATAGAATTGATGAGGAAAAAAAGGTGAGTGGTGCGTTGAGGTATATGTGGAGTCAAAAAACGTTATCTATGGAGGCAAAGAAGGGAATGTATGAAAGTATAGTAGTACCAACACTCTTATATGGGTGTGAAGCTTGGGTTGTGAATGCAGCAGCGAGGAGACGGTTGGAGGCAGTGGAGATGTCCTGTCTAAGGGCAATGTGTGGTGTAAATATTATGCAGAAAATTCGAGTGTGGAAATTAGGAGAAGGTGTGGAATTAATAAAAGTATTAGTCAAAGGGCTGAAGAGGGGTTGCTGAGGTGGTTTGGTCATTTAGAGAGAATGGATCAAAGTAGAATGACATGGAGAGCATTTAAATCTGTAGGAGAAGGAAGACGGGGTAGGGGTCATCCTCGAAAAGGTTGGATGGAAGGTGTAAGGGAGGTTTTATGGGCAAGGGGCTTTGACTTCCAGCAGGCGTGCATGAGCGTGTTCGATAGGAGTGAATGGAGATGAATGGTATTTGGAACCTGACGATCTGTTGGAGTGTGAGCAGGGTAATATTTAGTGAAGGGATTCAGGGAAACCGGTTATTTTTATATAGCCAAACTTGAGTCCTGGAAATGGGAAGTACAATGCCTGCACTCTAAAGGAGGGATTTCGGGATATTAGCAGTTTGGAGGGATATGTTGTGTATCTTTATACATATATGCTTCTAAACTGTTGTGTTCTGAGCACCTCTGCAAAAACAGTGATTATGTGTGAGTGAGGTGAAAGTGTTGAATGATGATGAAAGTATTTTCTTTTTGGGGATTTTCTTTCTTTTTGGGTCACCCTGCCTCGGTGGGAGACGGCCGACTTGTTAAAAAAAAAAAAAAAAAAAAAAAAAAAAAAAAAAAAAAAAAAAAGCCTAACCTCAATTGTAGGCAAATTACTACAGTCAATTATAGCTGATAATATAAGAAGCCATCTCGATAGGCATAATTTGATTAATGATACTCAACATGGATTCACCAGGGGCCGTTCCTGCCTAACTAATTTATTAACTTTCTTCAGTAAGGCTTTTGAGGCCATTGATCATGATAAAGAATTCGATATTGTTTATTTGGATTTTAGTAAGACTTTAGATAGAGTACCACGTCAGACACTACACCTGTTTGAAGAGGTAAATTAATGTCCTATAACCTATGCCCTAAGTAAAGAGAAACAATTCTGGAATGTGTAATACATGTTCAGCAGGCTGGCTGATTGACTTTGGCTGTCTCTATCTCCATCTGTCTGTCTCTGTCTATCTCTGTCTGTATCTCACAAGTACACATAAATACAATTATACATAATGTAAATTACCTAGAATAACCCAAAAAATTCAGACAAAGTGCTATACTGTGCTTGTACATATAAGGCATAATAAGCATGACTGGCAAGTAACACGCATTTTCACTTGTTCAGGAGTCAGACGTGACTATTCTGCAACATGTGTAATACCTGTTGGCTCATGAGTGACTCTGAGACAGAGACACAAACAGAGAGACAGAAAGAGAGACAAGTGGTTATATGGGTCCAGGCTTGTCACTTCTGTAAACTATGAGACACACTTCACACTAACCGTGGCTATGTGGGTCCAGGCTTGTGCCATTTGGGTCAGTGTAGCATCATCATCTTTCTCCTGTAAAGTCTTCAGTTCCTTCCGAGCAGCATCCACACGTTCCATCTTCAAGTATGTCTGAACTATCAGGGCTCGACTGAGGAGTAGAACAACAATAAAACAGAAATTTTTAAACGCAAGTAATTTCACTGGTTATTATATGCTTCTTATCTTGAAATCTTTTGTTTAAGAAACATAAACTGCTACTGACTTAATAGAACATTTTATTAAGTGCCACATTTACCATTCAAGTGCATCAGACTGGTTAAGAACTCTGAGTGCTGCCTCATAGTTTTCCTCATGAGAGTAGATTGTTGCTGCTACCACCAGCAAGGCTATGTTGGTCAGATCAACATTTCCACTCAGTTGTGATTCAACGTCGTTCACAATCGTTGTCCTGTTAAAGGTATTAGTGTTTAATAAATTTATATACAATACAGGTCGGCCATCACTAAACCGGCATCACTGGGACATGTAGTGTGCCGGATTAGTGAGTTTGCCAGATCACAGAGTGGTTAGGTTAGAATACACTTAATTAACCTATCAATAAAGACTCTTTCTGATACATCTTCCTCATTTTCATCACTTTCTCCTCCACTGGCTTGCTGCTGTAGATTTACAATTATCTGTACAATTTCTGAGTCAGTATTATGATGAAATTTGAAATTGTGCTAGCCGAAATTAGTGCCGGATTACTGATGGAACCGGATAACTGACTGCCGGATTAGTGATAGCCTACCTGTACCTGCTCCTTGTTGCAGCTCTCAAGAAAGAGTTTAAGCTCTGTACCCTATGTCCTGTATACGTAGCATGACCAGTAAAATTGTGAATATTATGCACATAATTATGAATATTATGTTTGTTGGACTATGTATTGGTAGATAAGACTGTTGAGTAGACTTCAGAATGTACATGTTTATAGAGGGGCCACAGATATATCATATCACTTTTTAGTTGTAGCTACCGTGAGAGTAAAAGGTAGATGGGATACAAGGAAAATAGAAGCAGCAAGTAAGAGAGAGGTGAAGGTGTATAAACTAAAAAAGGAGGCAGTTAGGGTAAGATATGAACAACTATTGGAGGATAGATGGGCTAGTGAGAGTATAGGGAATGGGGTTGAAGATGTATGGGGTAGGTTTAAGAATGTTGTGTTAGAGTGTTCAGCAGAAGTTTGTGGTTACAGGAAAGTGGGTGCGGGAGGGAAGAAGAGCGATAGGTGGAATGATGATGTAAAGAGAGTAGTAAGGGAGAAAAAGTTAGCATATGAGAGGTTTTCACAAAGTAGAAGTAATGCAAGGAGGGAAGAGTAAATGAAAAGATACAGAGGTTGCGAGAGTGGTGAAGCAGTGAAAAAAGAGAGCAAATGAGAGAGTGGGTGAGATGTTATCAACAAATTTTGTAGAAAATAAGAAAAAGTTTTGGAGTGAGCTTAATAAGTTGAGGAAGCCTAGGGAACAAATGGATTTGACAGTTAAAAATAGGAGAGGAGAGTTATTAAATGGAGAGTTAGAGGTATCGGGAAAATGAAGGGAATATTTTTAGGAACTGTTAAGTGTTGATGAAGATAGGGAAGCTGTGATTTCGTGTATAGGGCAAGGAGGAATAACATCTTGTAGGAGTGAGGAAGAGCCAGTTGTGAGTGTGGGGGAAGTTCGTGAGGCAGTGGGAAAAATGAAAGGGGGCAAAGCAGCTGGGATTGATGAGATAAAGATAGAAATGTTGAAAGCAGGTGGGGATATAGTTTTGGAGTGGTTGGTGCTATTATTTAATAAATGTATGGAAGAAGGTAAAGTACCTAGGGATTCGCATAGAGCATGCATAGTTTCTTTGTATAAAGGCAAAGGGGATAAAAGAGTGCAAAAATTATAGGGGAATAAGTATGTTAAAAACAGAGTAGGGGAGTTAGTAGATGGGGAGATGGAGGTATTAGGTAGATGGCGAGAATATTTTGAGGAACTTTTAAATGTTAAGGAAGAAAGGGAGGCGGGAATTTCATGCACTGGTCAGGGAGGTATACCATCTTTTAGGAGTGAAGAAGAGCAGAATGTAACTGTGGGGGAGGTACGTGAAGCATTATGTAGAATGAAAGGGGGTAAAGCAGCTGGAACTGATGGGATCATGACAGAAATGTTAAAAGCAGGGGGGAATATAGTGTTGGAGTGGTTGGTACTTTTGTTTAATACATGTATGAAAGAGGGGAAGATACCTAGGGATTGGTGGAGAGCATGTATAGTCCCTTTTATATAAAAGAAAAGGGGACAAAAGAGATTGTGAAAATTATAGAGGAATAAGTTTACTGAGTATACCAGGAAAAGTGTACGGTAGGGTTATAATTGAAAGACTTAGAGGTAAGACAGAATGTAGCATACATTGAAGCATATATGAGAACAGTATTTAGATAAAGGTAGGGAAGTTTTTATTGCATTTATGGATTTAGAAAAGGCATATGATAGAGTGGATAGAGGAGCAATGTGGTAGATGTTGCAAGTATATGGAATAGGTGGTAAGTTACTAAATGCTGTAAAGAGTTTTTATGAGGATAGTGAGGCTCAGGTTAGGGTGTGTATAAGAGAGGGAGACTACTTCCCGGTAAAAGTAGGTTTTAGGCAGGGATGAGTAATGTCACCATGGTTGTTTAATATATTTATAGATGGGGTTGTAAAAGAAGTAAATGTTAGGGTGTTCGGGAGAGGGGTGGGATTAAATTATGGGGAATCAAATTCAAAATGGGAATTGACACAGTTACTTTTTGCTGATGATACTGTGCTTATGGGAGATTCTAAAGAAAAATTGCGAAGATTAGTGGATGAGTTTGGGAATGTGTGTAAAGGTAGAAAGTTGAAAGTGAACATAGAAAAGAGTAAGGTGATGAGGGTATCAAATGATTTAGATAAAGAAAAATTGGATATCAAATTGGGGAGGAGTAGTATGGAAGAAGTGAATGTTTTCAGATACTTGGGAGTTGATGTGTCGGCGGATGGATTTATGAAGGATGAGGTTAATCATAGAATTGATGAGGGAAAAAAGGCGAGTGGTTCGTTGAGGTATATGTGGAGTCAAAAAACGTTATCTATGGAAGCAAAGAAGGGAATGTATGAAAGAATAGTAGTACCAACACTCTAATATGGATGTGAAGCTTGGATGGTAAATGCAGCAGTGAGGAGACGGTTGGAGGCAGTGGAGATGTCCTGTCTAAGGGCAATGTGTGGTGTAAATATTATGCAGAAAATTCGGAGTGTGGAAATAAGGAAAAGGTGTGGAGTTAATAAAAGTATTAGTCAGAGGGCAGAAGAGGGGTTGTTGAGGTGGTTTGGTCATTTAAAGAAGAATGATATGGAAAGCATATAAATCTATAGGGGAAGGAAGGCGGGGTAGGGGTCGTCCACAAAAGGGTTGGAGAGAGGGGGTAAAGGAGGTTTTGTGGGTGAGGGGCTTGGACTTCCAGCAAGCGTGCATGAGCGTGTTAGATAGGAGTGAATGGAGACGAATGGTACTTGGGACCTGACGATCTGTTGGAGTGTGAGCAGGGTAATATTTAGTGAAGGGATTCAGGGAAACAGGTTATTTTCATATAGTCGGTCTTGAGTCCTGGAAATGGGAAGTACAATGCCTGCACTTTAAAGGAGGGGTTTGGGATATTGGCAGTTTGGAGGGATATGTTGCGTATCTTTATGTGTGTGTTGTTTAGGTAAGACACTTCTATCAATTTTGCTGTACTCGACTGAAGAAGCCTACTGTGTAGGCGAAACGTTTCGAAATAAAGATACCTAACTGTTGCATGTGTGTCTTACCTAAACAACCTGTCGGTATTTTATACCATTTTATTGTTCATCTTTATATGTATATGCTTCTAAACTGTTGTATTCTGAGCACCGCTGCAAAAACAGTGATAATGTGTGAGTGTGGTGAAAGTGTTGAATGATGATGAAAGTATTTTCTTTTTGGGGATTTTCTTTCTTTTTTGGGTCACCCTGCCTCAGTGGGAGACGGCCGACTTGTTGAAAAAAAAAAAAAAAAAAGTCTGTTGAGTATACCAGGTAAAGTGTATGGTAGAGTTATTATTGAAAGAATTAAGAGTAAGACAGAGAGTAGGATAGTAGATGAACAAGAAGACTTTAGGAAAGGTAGGGAGTGTGTAGACCAAGTGTTTACAGTGAAACATATAGGTGAACAGTATTTAGAAAAGGCTAAAGAGGTTTTTGTGGCATTTATGGATTTGGAAAAGGCATATGACAGGATGGATAGGGGGGTAATGTGGCAGATGTTGCAGGTGTATGGTATAGGAGGTAGGTTACTGAAAGCAGTGAAGAGTTTTTATGAAGATAGTGAAGCTCAGGTTAGAGTATGTAGGAGAGAGGGAGATTATTTCCCAGTAAAAGTAGGCCTTAGACAAGGATGTGTGGTGTCACCGTGGCTGTTCAATATATTTATAGATGGGGATGTAAGAGAAGTGAATGCGAGGGTCTTGGCAAGAGGTGTGTAGTTAAAAGATAAAGAATCGAACACGAAGTGGGAGTTGTCACAGTTGCTCTTTGCTGATGACACTGCTTTTGGGAAATTCTAAAGAGAAGTTGCAGAGGTTGGTGGATGAATTTGGTGGGGTACGTAAAACAAGAAAATTAAAAGTGAATATAGGAAAGAGTAAGGTGATGAGGATAACAAAAAGATTAGGTGATGAAAGATTGGATATCAGATTGGAGGGATAGAGTATGGAGGAGGTGAATGTATTCAGATATTTAGGAGTGGACTTGTCAGCAGATGGGTCTATGAAGGATGAGGTGAATCACAGAATTGATGAGGGGAAAAGGGTGAGTGGTGCACTTAGGAGTCTGTGGGGTCAAAGAACTTTGTCCATGGATGCAGAGGGAAATGTATGTGAGTATAGTTATACCAACACTCCTATATGGGTGTGAAGCATAGGTGATGAATGTTGCAACAAGGAGAAGGTTGGAGACAGTGGAGATGTCATGTCTGAGGGCAATGTGTGGTGTGAATATAATGCAAAGAATTCGTAGCTTGGAAATTAGGAGAAGGTGCAGGGTTACCAAAACCATTATCCAGAGGGTTGGGGAGGGGTTGTTGAGGTGGTTTGGACATGTAGAAGGTAACAAAACAGAATGACCTCTAGAGTGTATAAATCTGTTGTAGAGGGAAGGTGGGGTAAGGGTCGGCCTAGGAAAGGTTGGAGGGAGGGGGTAAAGGAGGTTTTGTGTGCGAGGGGTTTGGACTTACAGCAAGCATGCATGAGCGTATTTGATAGGAGTGAATGGAGGCAAATGGTTTTTAATATTTGACATGCTGTTGGAGTGTGAAAAAGTAACATTTATGAAGGGATTCAGGAAAACCAGCAGGCTGGACTTGAGTCCTGCAGATGGGAAGTACAGTGTCTGCACTCTGAAGGAGGGGTGTTAATGTTGCAGTTTCATAACTGTAGTGTAAAGCACCCCTCTGGCAAGACAGTGATGGAATGAATGATGATGATAGTTTTTCTTTTTCGGGCCACCCTGCCTTGGTGGGAATCGGCCAATGTGTTAATAATTCCTCCTCCCTTAGTTTAAGCACTTTCACCTCCCTCTTACTTGTTGTTGCCACTTCTCTTGTCCATCTACCTCCTACTCTAACTGTAGCTACAATAATAATGCAGACCCGATAGATGCGCACAAGATGCAGCACACCCTTATATCATAGTAGGAACAACACATGTCTCATCGACATGGGATGCACTCACCATCTCAACACGTGTTTGTAGCCCACCAATCACCTCATATCTCATCTCTAAACCCGCAGGCTCACCTATAAGACCACCCCCCCAAGTATGCTTTGCATTTCACTTGGATCGAAGTCATCCTAGGGATTCTGCTACACTATGAGCAAAGTCGCTGTGCTAACCCCCCCCAACAAGTGCTCACGAGTATCAGCATACATGTGTCTATGTACAATGTATTTGTTTATACCTGAATAACTTACTTACTTACTTACTTTCATTACGTGCTACATCATACCTTGTATATTTATTTATCCTCTTTTTCATAAACTATTTTGTATTAATTATCACCAAATCTCTTTCTACACATGCTCAATTAAAGACTCCCCATTCCATTTACCCTGGCCACCCAAATTTACCTACTACTCCCTCCATAGCATTTTTACCCACTTAGCATTGAAATCCCCAACCACAAGTACCTGGAGTTTACCTGGAGGAGAGTTCGGGGGTCAACGCCGCGGCCCGTCTGTGACCAGGCCTCCTGGTGGATTCAAGCCTGATCAACGGGCTGTTGCTGCTGGCTGCACGCAAACCAACGTACGGACTCCCACCATATACCTCACGCACCACTCACCTTTTTTTCCCTCATCAATTCTATGTTTAACCTCATCCTTCATAATCCATCCGCCGAACGTCAACTCCCAAGTATCTGAAAAACATTCATTCTTCCATACTCCTCCTCCCAATTTGATATCCAATTTTTCTTTTAAATCTAAATCATTTGATTACCCTCATCACCTTACTCTTTCTATGTTACTTCAACTTTCTACCTTTACACACATTCTCAAACTCATCCACTAACCTTTGCAATTTTTCTTTAGGAATCTCCCATAAGCACGTATCATCTGCCAAAAAGTAACCTGTGTCAATTCCCATTTTGAATTTGATTCCCCATAATTTAATCCCACCCTCTCCCGAACACCTAGCATTTACTTCTTTTACAACCTCTATAAATAATATTAAACAACCATGGTGACATTACAATCCCTGTCTAAGACCTACTTTTACGGGAAGGTATTCTCCTCTCTTCTACACACCCTATCCTGAGCTCACTATCCTCATAAAAGCTCTTTACAGCAATTTTAGTAACTTACCCCTATTCCATAAAATTGCAACATCTGCCCATTGCTCCTCTAATCCACTCTATCATATGCCTTTTCTTTAAATCCATAATGAAATTAAAAAACTATTCCCTACCTTTATCTAAATACTGTTCCATATATGCTTCAATGTAAACCACTTGATCTACAATCCCTACCCACTCTGTAGCCTCCTTGCTCATCCGCAATTCTACATTCTGTCTTACCTCTAATTCTTTCAATTATAACCCATACCATATACTTTTCCTGGTATACTCAGAAAACTTATACCTCTATAATGATCAAAGAAACATTAATAAACAACACAACACAAACTATTAGACCATAAACGTTCTAATAAAACATTTGCCACTAGGAGTACCCCCCCCGCCCCTACAAATAAATTAAATAGATAAATAAATAAATAAATAAAATAAATCAAATAAACTAAATAAATAAATTAATAAATAAATAATAATAAATAAAATAAATAAATAAATAATAAATAAATAAATAAATAAATAATAAATAAATAAATAAATAATAAATAAAATAAATAAATAAAATAAATAAATAAATAAATAAATAATAAAATAAATCTATATTATTTATATATATATATATATTATTTATATATATATATATATAATATATTTATATAATATATATATATATATATATATATATATATATATATATATATATATATTATTAATATATAATATATTATATATATTATATATATATTTATTTATTTATTTTTTATTTATTTATGTCTTTGTTTACTCCTAGGTGCAATGTTTATTAGAAAACTTTTTATGGACTATTAGTTTTGTTTGTGTTGTTTATTAATGTTCTTTGATTATTTTCCCTTGGATAGTAAGTTTTGTTTAGGGATCAGGTACACATAAGTCATCATTATTAAACTTATGTAAAATTTCCTAGGATAACAAAAAAAATAAATCAGTGACTTATTTCACCCCCCCCCCCCCCCCCCCCCCCCCCCCCCCCCCTCTGGGGTCCTGGATATGCAACTACAATAGTCAACTAACTCCTAAGCCGTATATTTTTGGTTTAGGCTCAAACATAATTTTTTTTTTTTCGAAAGTTTTCAATGGTTATATATAAAAAAAATTTTAATTAGTTATTAAACCTAGGAAATGTAAGGAAGTGAAGAGAAGAGGTAAATAAATAAATAAATGTTTATTTGCTTGCATGGCTTACAATGTGTGGTTTATATATTTTTAATGTTAATTACAAGAATGGCCTCTAGCATGCCTAGGCATTTCGGGCAGACTAATCCTAATTCTTACTTTTAATTGACACAGGTTGTGGAGCAGTACATTTTAATATATCTATCTGCATACTAGGTGGATTTATAATAATGAGGAAGTTTAAAACGTTTAACCATCACCCCCCAACGACCATTTAGTGATGGAGAATGGTAAAGCCTTGACACGATACACCTTTCTATTAAGTTCATATATTGGAGAGTTTCTTAGACAAACTTAGGGCTAACTTAAGATCTATTAGGCAATAGCTATATTAGGAATTTTATGTTTACAGTCGTTTGGGTGAATGGAAGTGTAAATTAGGGGGCATGACTAACATCTGTCTAACATCTAACATCTGAAGTACATATGTTCAATCCCAACCCGGATGGAAATGTTGGGTAGGTTTCCTTTTATTTGTTGCCCCTGTTCACCTAGCGGTAAGTAGGTACCTAGGTATAAGTCACCTTACACCTGATGCCCCTGTTCACCTAGCAATAAGTAAGTACCTGGGTGTTAGGTGACTGGTGTGGGTCGCATCCTGGGTACAAAAATAATTTGATTTGCCCGAAAAGTTCTGCATAACCAGGGACTTTCTCTATATTAGTATGTCACTGATGTCAACTACAGTCTGTATAAGTTGTATCAAATACTTGTAGAAATAAAGATTATTAGTATTATTACTTATAATTCGGTAAAATCAAGGCCTATCTCGGCATACCTGTAAACCAAATTGACAGGTCTACCAATTTATCACTACCTTTACTGAGACAATCATAAACTACGTTACCTGCAGTTTTTGCGCCTCATTTATACAATGTTGATAGTTGCCAATATAAAAAGAGTTTTTAACTTCAAAAAGTTCGTCGACTTCAGCCATGGTGACACTTGGCTCTGACAGGACTGCCATCTGAACACAATATTTTTTTGCTAATAAATCATTGATATTTTATCATTAATCTAAGCATCAACATGAGCACTATTATGATTAATTATAACTATTAGAAGGAAAATATCAAATTAACAACCCAGCAAACAGTATGTCTTAAATTTGTGATAATTCTAATGATGTAAAGTTGGCCAACCTGATAGTTGACGTGTATTGTAATTTACCAAAACAATAACTAACTTACATTTTATCTAGCAAATATAAATAACATAAATATTGCCAAACCTTAATAAATATAATTCAATTATTATTTAACAAAATCGAGCATTGAAAGTATTTATAACTTTGTTCCGTCCCGGAGGATGTGTTGTTTGGTCCTGGTGATGCAACTCATTTTTATTTTATTATTATGATTATTATTATTGTATTATTATTATTATTATTATTATTATTATTTATTATTATTATTATTATTTTTATTATGATTATTATTATTATTATTATTATGTTATTTTATTATTATTATTATTATTTTATTTTTATTATTATTATTATTAGCGTGTATATGGATGGGGTCCACCTTGTGTAAATTGTGTGACCATTATTATTATTATTATAATCAAAAGAAAGCGCTAGCCACAAGGGCATATACAGCTGTGGGACCCAAAGCCTCGGGAATTGGATAAAAAAGGCTTCAAGGAGAATATTTGGATTTCTTCCTGAAGCAGTTTGAATATCCACTTTCCTACCACCCATCTTTTCGTTTTTTTTACCAATAGGATATATTAGTACATAATATGGTTACAGAAATTTAAGAGATACATTGTGATATAAAAGTGGCATATACGTACATGTTGTTACGTGTGTATCACCGAATTAAGGGAAAATCTCCATCCAGCTCCCAGAGCTTAGGGCGTGTGCCTAAAATACAGCAGAGCATTACCCTTAGAACAGCCGCGCTGAGCCGCTGAAACAGAAAAAACCTATAAAATATCTGCCCTGGATCCCTAGTTACCTGATGAGTCTTTTCTCAGCTTTTAGGAGTTTAGATGCATTTTTTTTTCCAGAGCAAGGGTCTCTGAGCCTATGGAACAAACTATAATGATGGCAAGTTCTCCATATTTTTCTAGACTTTTCGGGGACTCCCTGAAGCTGGCAGCTGCCCTCCTTCCTCCTGGTGCATTGGAGTATAAGTATCAGCAAGGTAGATGCACATGTATAGTCCCACACCACCTGCTTCCGTTGTCCAGGCTTTGAAGTGTGATACCATGTGGTTGCTTCTGCTGCCATCAGATCTGTATAGCTGGAGTGGCTCCCCTTATGCTGGGCATTCCGGCTGTTGTGAGGCTCCTCTTGATAATGTTATTACCTCACTCATGACTTGCAATCTTTCCTCGGATTTACAGCACACAAGACATGGACCCCGAATCGGTTGCTTGCTTCACTGCCACAAATACACCTGTGTTCGCGAGAATAGGGGCGTTAAGTCGAAGGGCAACACCGATGCGGAAGTCTGTGGGTCGAGGGCGTGTGCCAAGGCTGGAGTTGGAACAGCCAACAGAAAAGTCCCTGCATGAGGGGCTCTTTAACTGCCAGGAGGTGGGACTCTATCCCTTCCCTGACACATCTGAAGAATTGTTGAGGCTATATTTTCCACTATTGGGCCATCCCAGTACCGATTTTTGTGTTGTTGGTGGAGCAGGTCTGGTTTCAGAGCCCATTAGATTATCCCAGATCATGGCTCCGTCATTGAACTTTTTGGTCTTGGACTCCAGTTTTGTCCCTAAGATGTTCAGAGAATCGCTCTAAATGCCCTCTGAAGTTTCAATACATGAGGACAGAAAGCAGGTAGCGCAATCTGTGATGACTTGCGTACACTAATGCCTCCTAGTCTGACTGGAAGTAGTAGCTTGGTTCCACTGCCTTTTTCTCGAGTAAGGTTAAGTTACTTTCGTAAAAAATCTGCCTTAGGATACAGTCATTTCGTGCAGTTATAGGGTTATATAAGAAGGTGCACATCTTAGGTCAATATGTCAACCTTGTCTACTCACGCACTTTGTGAGAAGGTAAAAACTTTCACGTTTGTTTGACAGATTGCCTATTCGTGCAACCCCCCCCCCCCCCCCCCCCCCCAACCCCCCCCACCCCTCCCCCCCCCCCCCCCCCTTTCCCCATTTTTTTTTTTCCAACACTTTTTCCATTCTCTTAACTCTTCCAATTTCTTCTTGAGAATTGTGTCAATGGCATTGCTTCCCAGAGGTACTCCTAGCAAGACCCTGTTTGTAGGGGCAATGACTACTGCTCTGGCACCCCGTTTTGTCTCCACGCATTAATCACTTGCTGACTGAATAGATGATTTCACATTGGGATGGATTCTGGATGAGACCCCATTTCCTGTCCCCGTGTCATTACCTGTGTAAGATCATCTAGGAGGGACTCCTTTGTACCTGTTAGTGTGCCATTATCTAGGAACCAGATGTTTAGCTCACTGGTAAGTCTGATTGTGATTTCCCTAACTGCTATACAGAAGAGAAATGGTGCAAGAGGATCTCCTTGTTGGACACATCTCCGTTGATGTGATTTCTTTGCTCTCCAAGAGAAGCATTGATTTCCTTGCTATACCAGTTGAACAAAAGGGGGGGAAAGAGACCAGGGAAATGTTCTTGTATTGCTGCTAATACCACGTCTCTTTTCAGGAGATTAAATGCATTCTTGAAATCTAATTTTACCACTGCATTGTCCTCACGCAGGTTGTTGATATACGCCCTTATTGCATGAACCGCTGCTTCACTTCCTTGAGAGACCCCAAAGCCAAGCTGGTTTGGGTTGAAGCATCCTAGCTGCCTGTGCACGAATACTTCGGGTACGAGGCGGCGTAACGTGTTGCCTACTGCAATTGGCCGAATTCTCCCATCCTTCTTTTTAAGTTGCACCAAAAAGAAAGGTCTATTTCTCAGGAATCAGCCCAGCAAGGAATTGTTGACTAACCTTATATATATATATATATAATATATAATTATATAGTATATTTATTATTTTTATATACTCACTAATATAATATATATATATATATATATATATATATATATATATATATTATATATATATATATATTTTTTTCTTTTCAAACAAGTACGGGCCGTCTCCCACCGAGGCAGGGTGACTCAAAAAGAAAGAAAATTCCCCCAAAAGAAAATAATTTTCATCATCATTCAACACTTTCACCTCACTCACACATAATCCCCCACACTTGTTTTTGCAGAGAGGAGGTGCTCAGGAACACACAGTTTAGAAGCATATACGTATAAAGCTACACAACAGTCCTCCAAACTTCTAATATCCCAAAACCCCTCTTTAGAGTGCTGGCATTGTACTTCCCATTTCCAGGACTCAGTCCGGCTATATAAAAATAACCGGTTTTCCTGATCCCTTCACTAAATATTACCTGCTCACACTCAAAACAGATCGTCAGGTCCAAGTACCATTCGGTCTCCATTCACTCCTATCGATCACACACATGCACGGCCTGCTGAACACCAAGCTCCTCGCCAAAAACCTCCCACTACCCTATCCATCAACCTTTTCGAGGTGACCATACCCCGCCATGCCTCGCTACAGATTTCAAATGCTCTCCATGTCATTCTACTTTGATATTATTCTCTTCTAAATGACAAACCACCTCAACAACCCGCTCTTCAGCCCTCTGACTAATAAAGTTATTAACTCCACACCTTCTCTAATTTTACACATTCCGATGAATTTTCTGCCATATATTCACACACACATTGCCCTTAGACAGAACATCTCCACTGCCTCCAACCGCCTCCTCGCTGCTGCATTTCACAACCCAAGCTCCCACCATGTAAGAGTGTTGGTTACACTATACTTTCATACATTCCTTCTTTGCCTCCATAGATAACGGTTTTTGACTCAACATATACCTTATGCACCACTCACCTTTTTCCCTCATCAATTCCTATGATTAACTCATCCTTTCATAATCCATCCGCGATACATCAACCCCAAGTATTTGAAAACATTCATTCTTCCATACTCCTCTCCCAAGTTTGATATCCAATTTTTCTTTATCTAATTTATTATGTACCCATGATTCACCTTACTCTTTTCTATGTTCACCTTCACTTTCTACATTTGCACACACTCTCAAACTATCCAACGAACCCTTGCAATTTTATTTATGAATCTCCCATAAGCACAGTTACATCAGCAAAAAGTAACTGTGTCAATTACACCCCATCTAAATATATTATGAACAACCATGGTGACATTACACATCCCTGTCTAAAACTACTTTTACCGGTATTTACCTGGAGTTTCATTACCTTTGTAACTAGATCAGCTATCATAACTTTGGGGTCCAGTCACTGGACCCATTATGTACCTTTGTAATCTTTTGACTACCGCCCACAGGATGGGGTATGGGGGCATAATAAAGATATTAAACTAAACTGTGTGTGTGTGTGTGTGTGTGTGTGTGTGTGTGTGGTGTGTGTGAGATGTCTGTGTGTGTACTCACCTATTTGTGTTGAGGTGTTACTCACCTAATTGTACTCACCTAATTGTTGTTGCAGTGGTCGAGACTCAGCTCCTGGCCCGCCTCTTCGCTGATCGCTACTGGATCCTCTCTCTCTTGCTCCTGAGCTTTGTCATACCCTCTTCTTAAAAACCTATGTATGGTTCCTGCCTCCACTACTTCACTTGCGTAGGCTATTCCACTTGCTGAACTCTATGACTGATGAAATACTTCCTAACGTCCTGTGACTCGTGAGTCTTCAGCTTCCAGTTGTGGACCCCTTGTTCTGTGTCCCCCTCTCTGGAAACATCTATCTCTGTTCCACCTTGTCTATTCCCGCAGTATTTGTATGGTCGTTATCATGTCTCCCCTGACCTTCTGTCCTCCAGTGTCGTCCAGTCGATTTCCCTTAACCTTTCCTCGTACGACATTTCCTTGAGTCTGGGATATCCATGTGCCAACCTTTGTACTT